CTCCTTGTCCCCCCACCCATCACCCCCATCCCTCATCTCCACGCAGCAGAGACCAGGGTGCTCCTGTCCCTGCACAGGGTGCAAAGATTGTGTGCCCCACAGCGGGGCCCAGCAGGGGCCCCACGGGGACAGGCAGGGCCCTGGGGTGGCAGCAACATCAGGGCATGGGCAGTTCATGTCCCTCACCCCATCCCCAGGTACCCCCACATCCACCCGGACCAGACCCACATCCCCCATGGGGGTGACCCAGCCTGAGGGCCACACACCCTCCTGACACCCCAGACCAACCCCATGGACGGACACACCAGGCAACTGGACAGCAATAAATTTATTCAGTATTCAAAAAAAAAATAGACACAAACCAGTAAAAAACAAAGAGGGGGGGCGCTCCCGTCAGAGCGGCGGCAGGGGCTGAGCTAACTCATAACGGGGGACACTGTTAGTAAATACTGAACGCTGGCGGTCTCGGGACCCCTAATCGGAAGCAACTGGAAGCCGGCGAGGGCTCCTTAYGGGCGGCTAGCGGGGGGCGGCGGGGCCGGGCCCCGGCTTCACTTGGCGCCCTGCGCCTCCGACTCCTCCTCGTCATCCTCGTACATCTCGCCCTCCTCCTCGGCCGTGGCGTCCTGGTACTGCTGGTACTCGGAGACCAGGTCGTTCATGTTGCTCTCGGCCTCGGTGAACTCCATCTCGTCCATGCCCTCGCCCGTGTACCAGTGCAGGAAGGCCTTGCGGCGGAACATGGCCGTGAACTGCTCCGAGATGCGCTTGAAGAGCTCCTGGATGGCCGTGCTGTTGCCGATGAAGGTGGAGGACATCTTGAGCCCCCGCGGCGGGATGTCGCACACGGCCACCTTCACGTTGTTGGGGATCCACTCCACGAAGTAGGAGCTGTTCTTGCTCTGGATGGCCAGCATCTGCTCGTCCACCTCCTTCATGGACATGCGGCCCCGGAAGACGGTGGCCACCGTGAGGTAGCGCCCGTGCCGGGGGTCACACGCTGCCATCATGTTCTTGGCGTCGAACATCTGCTGYGTGAGCTCGGGCACCGTGAGCGCCCGGTACTGCTGGCTGCCGCGGGCCGTGAGCGGCGCGAAGCCCGGCATGAAGAAGTGGAGGCGCGGGAAGGGCACCATGTTGACCGCCAGCTTGCGCAGGTCGGCGTTGAGCTGCCCGGGGAAGCGCAGCGAGGTGGTGACGCCGCTCATGGTGGCCGACACCAGGTGGTTGAGGTCGCCGTAGGTGGGRGTGGCGAGCTTGAGYGTGCGGAAGCAGATGTCGTAGAGCGCCTCGTTGTCGATGCAGTAGGTCTCGTCCGTGTTCTCCACCAGCTGGTGGATGGAGAGCGTCGCGTTGTAGGGCTCCACCACCGTGTCGGACACCTTGGGCGAGGGCACCACGCTGAAAGTGTTCATGATGCGGTCGGGGTACTCCTCGCGCACCTTGCTGATGAGCAGCGTGCCCATGCCCGAGCCGGTGCCGCCGCCCAGCGAGTGCGTCAGCTGGAAGCCCTGCAGGCAGTCGCAGTTCTCGCACTCCTTGCGCACCACGTCCAGCACCGAGTCCACCAGCTCGGCGCCCTCCGTGTAGTGGCCCTTGGCCCAGTTGTTGCCGGCGCCGCTCTGGCCTGCGGGGAGGGACGAGGCCGCGCTGGATGCGGCGCCCACGCCGGGCTGGCAGCCGGAGCCGGGGCGGGGTGGGAAGCGGCTGGGCCGGGAGCCACGGGGCAGGCGCCGGGAACGCCGCGGGCACCGGCACGACGGGTCCCGCAGGGGAGGGAAGGGAAGGGTGTGTGGGGGGGTGTCTCTGGACATACCGAAAATGAAGTTGTCCGGTCGGAAGAGGTGTCCGAAGGCCCCCGAGCGCACGCTGTCCATTGTGCCCGGCTCCAGGTCCACCAGGATGGCGCGAGGCACGTACTTGTGAGCTGCGKGGACACCGCTGTCACCTGCGGCTCTGGGAGCCCCCCACGCCATGGAACCCCCCCCCCAGCACCGTGTCCCCCCCGGCACTTACAGGAGGCCTCATTGTAGTAGACGCTGATGCGCTCCAGCTGCAGGTCCGAGTCGCCCACGTAGTTGCCGCTGGGGTCTATGCCGTGCTCATCGCTGATCACCTCCCAGAACTGGGGGGCACCGGGGGCGGGGGGTCACAGGGGGCCAGGCTCCATGTGCCCCCCCCGCCAGCCATGGGGCTGGGTTCCATTCTGGGGTGCTCAGTGTCACCACCCAGGGGAATAGTGCCCCCATGGGGGACCCAGGGCGGGGCTCTGCACCAGGCGTGGGGACCCTGGCGAGGCTCCAGCCTCAGGGGAGGCTCTGCATGGAGTGGGGGGGAGCGGGGGGTGAGGGCGGAGACCCTGGGGACAAGCAGCCCTAGGGAGCGGGGTCTCCGCACTGCAGACACAGATCCCGGCGGGACCCTCTTTGTTGGGAGCGGATCCTGGGGACAACCGGCCCCAAAACGGGGGGGCTCTGCATCGCAGAGGGGGGGCCCCTGGGGACGCCCCTGACCTCGAGGGGGGGGTGGTGGCGGTGCTGGTGGCCATTCCTCTCCGGTGGCCAGAGGCAGGGGGGAGGGGCTCTCCATAGCAAGGAGGGGACCCTGGGGACAAGCGCGACCTCGGCGGGACGCGGGGGCGAATCCTCCCAGTGGGGGCTCTGCACGGCGAGGGGGACCCGGGGAGGGCCGCTCCGCTCCGCCGCGCGGCGGGACGCGGCAGAGC